GAAAACAGCTCTCCGAACGATCCAATAAAACCTTCGCGAAACCTAAGCAAGAATTTCGACTTTCTATGAAGAAAAATATTAGGTCGTTAAGTACGAAACGCATACTTCGCTCTATAATCTTATCATGAAATCTATGCATTTCGTACTTAACGATCTAACAGTTAAACGGTTGTAACGCGACTAATTTCGTTTTAGTCGAGTTAATCGAGCGATCCTCCTCAGACCACTCTGAGGCAATTAACGCCACTTATTATTAACCCTTTGCACTATAACAACGAGTCAGACTCGCGACGATGATTTTATACGCGACCTATTAAATGCAAACATTCGTCGTTTCTTCCGAATGAAAATAGAATTCGATTGTTCTGTTATCAAAATCTAGGATCCAAAGTAAACGAAGACGTATAAAAAATACAAAAATTGTCTCGTTCTATCAGGGCAATGATCGAGGACAAGGAACAGCTGATCAAGGTAGCTGCGAAAGAAATCGTAGCGCAAGGGGTTAACGCCTAACAAAGCTTATCAGCCCGATCAACAGTCCGAGTTACTGAAAAGTCGAGCTAACAAGTTCACATTTTGCAACGTGAATTGCGAGAAGTGAGAAGTCGTCGCGCGTTTTGATTTCACTTTGATCTCGGCGTTCGCACGGATGAACTCATTTGTTAAGACACGGTGTGGAAACGGGGTACAGCACAGTAACCCGTCCGGTGGATCTGATGTTAATTAAGCGATCCTCTCGAGACGATTCAAAGGCAATTAACGTGGCTAGGCGTCTATATAAACATGTTCGGGACGCGGTCCACGATGCAGGATGCTGACCCCCACGAATCGTGAGGTCGGGCTCGATTATGTCAGTCTTCTTCGATGACGACACAGACAGACGCGGTCGGGCATCGAACGGCGAACAGTCCATTGGTCTCTCTCTCGTCTCTGATTTCGTCACCTGCTCGAGCGACGGACTGTTCGACGCGATTCGCTTTTAGCGAGACCGTATATAGCGCCGCGATCGATCCTCGGCTCGTTTAAGGGGACAATTTCTTCTGCGAACGTTGCAAAATTTAACGATTTTCGCCAGAATGTTCGGCGATTTTGTAGCAATTTCATAGCAATTTTCTAGCGATTTTTTAATACTGTTTTAACGCGACATAAGCGAGGAAGGCAATTTTTTTCTAGAATTCGTCGACAGCTACGCGATTAAATAAATTCCTAGAGAAAGCTGTACGAAAGATGTTCGTTAAAAATATTGAATTTTCCAACGTTTACGGAAGTACCGATCTCTCCTCGATGCGATTTGAGGCCGTGTTCGCGATCATATGCCACTGAATCATTCGGTTTCCAAAGTTTTCCGTCAAGTACGCGAATTTTCCTTTGTAAACAGATATATCTATGTTTCGATAGCGATTATCCGAGACAATATTTGCTTGCACAGCGACGTGATCCTGAGAATCTTCCATACAAATCGGTATGTTAGGACAACGATATCGATGATTTAATGATTGCGCAGTTCTGCGAACGTTATTGTATGGTATGCTTATCTGCAAAAATTCGAATCGTTGGACAACTTAGGCTCTGATACGCGTGGTTACGTTTAAACAAAAGTATCAATGTTTTGCTACATGATGGACTACGGATTTGATGCATTTACGGTAAAAATCGGTAGGCAATATTGCTTAAAAACAGCGTAAAGCTTATTAAAAATGTTACAGGTACAAATACTTGGCTTATATATCTCTTATATATATATATACCGCTTATATATCAATATATATATCTTATAATTATACTTGGCTTATATGTCTCTTGCGATTGATATGTAAGCGGTGCAATGATAACAGACGCCATTTTTAGATCATAATATCAACATTTTGACTGCGGTGGAAATAGATTTTATAAGATAACTACTGTTTGCGTCAACGGGAGTTGTTATTTTTAAACAACAATATCAATGTTTCGATAGCAAATTATGTAACAAACTCTATGGTTCAGTCCAGATAAGAGATTTTATTTTTAAACGATAACATCAATAATTTTGCAAGCAGATTCCTATTTGTTGGATATTTTGTCGCAAACTTGGGAAGATAATCTCCGAGCTGTGATTTTTACACAAACAACTATACACATTTACGTTTCACTATGGAGTTGCAAAGGAAAATTCTGTTGGCCCGATCGATGTTAAGGGGTAATTGCGAAACTAATTTAATTTGACGAGGTCCTAATAGATATTTAGCAAAATCATTCGGTAATATCGTTCTCGCTTTCGCGCTGCTCGAAATAAAAAACAAATTTCCATTCAATTACCGTTCTCACGGTGCATAATTTAATCGCCGGGCTCGCAACACTGTTCGGATTAATTCACTCCAAAGCGAAACTTTAATTAGCCGTGCACTTATACATCGATATTCGTGTCCACGTAAACGCGCATCGCCGCGATATGTGCTTTATTTTAAAAATACAACGAGCGACTGCACCGTAATCCGCGAAGTTTTTGCAGCTCGCGAATCGTTTCATCACGTTTCGTTTGTATTTGCATATTTCGATATTCCATCATGTACGTGACAAGTGGACTCAATTTGTTGCATCGATTGGGACACTTGCGAACTAACATTTCGAAAATCTTGTTCTACTTTCGCGCGGATTACCATTAATTATTTTATCCGCGTTACTTCGCGTTTAAATGGATCAGGAAGTCAAGAATGATCCGTTGTTCATGTGCGATTTATTTATCGCAATTTTCCAGCAAATGGGGGGGAAACAAATGAATGTTAAAACGCACGGACGTGTACTTGTTGTGTAACTGTTAACGAATTATTTACGTTTCGGAAACGCGCGTGCTTCGATCATTCGATGGGATCTGCTTTATTTATCATTTAACGAGACGGCAACAGATTTTACCATGAAGGAAAATTACGGCAAAACAGCCGTGACTAATGGTACAGTAATTTCTTCTTAATTCGCGTTGAGATTGCGCAGAAAACTGCAGAATTTGGGAAGAGGAGATGCGATTATTAGAGTCTTGCGTCTCGTTTTTACAGTTACCGATTGTCAACAGCTATAAAAGCGAGACGCAAGACTCTAATAATCGCATCTCCTCTTCCCAAATTGTCCATTTTTCTGCGCAATCCAAGTGCGAATTAGGGAGACATTACTGTATCGCGCGGCGAAGACAAATTATTGTTCGGAATCGCGTTCTGAACGAAAACGAATTGCTCAAAGATCAAACAAATCACGCGCAAGTTTCGATAAAACGTTTCCGTAACTTAATAATTCGATGATTCGGATAACACAGCGACGCTGTTTTCCATTCACGACGCAACGCCGGTTGCTAACGTGTGGCAGCGTGCAATAGATAAAACTTTGAGCACTCGAGCACTCTAACACGTTCTCGATAATGTATCTTATTGGGTCATCTGGAAAATTAGCTGTTTCGGGTGCACTGCAATTAGGACTTTTATTTATGGTGGCAACGAGAAGAGCGCTTTCCAAGTGTGATCCTATGGAGCGTATTTCAGTCGAAATGCAACAAAAATGCAGTATTTTAACCGGGACGATATTCGCTCCGTATTCATCGATATTGCTTTGTCAAAAGTTCAATCATTCGGCTCGCTGAAATTATCTCGTGCAACAACACAATTACACGATCGAACGAGTCATTGAAAAATTGATCGACGAGGTGTTCGTAATCGGAGAGAGAATAACCAGCGCGTGCAACGTTGGCAATGAAATTATTTGGCCGTGACAAGGTCAAGAAACTACAATGGACGGTTCACGACACTTCGGAATGGCGTGAATTCGTTGGGCTGTTCTCAAGCGAGAAGAAATTGCAAATGCAAAGAAATCGAATGGAAATTGCTTTCTAGATACGGTGGAAAATAATAGTTGCATTCGGAGTGAACTTTGGAGCACCTCGAAACGATGCCAATTCGTTGCTCTGATGCGAATCTTTTCGGAAACATATTTGTTCAAAAATGCAAGTGAAAAGCATACTTCACTTTGGATTCAGAATACAGTAGAAATCAAGCCTACGCTCAATTTGTTTTTTTTTTTTAATGAGAAGATACGAACATGTCTTCGAACAGGATATTACTATAAAACGAAACGAAGTTGCAGCAAAAAGAGGCAACAATCATGCGAGTATCATGCGAGAGAAATGAATCTTTTGCAATTTTGTGTTGCGTGAGCTGACAAATTAATTGTTACTAGAACAATCAGACATTTCGACGACCTGTGAGGTTTTCGCTACGGATGTCATAACTATACTGCGAATTTTAGGCATTTATGACAAAAAGCAGTACTATAAATTATGCAGAAAATTTGTATTTTGCATATAAATCAGTAGTTTTACAAATTTTCCTGTAGCTTCCAACGAAAATGGATTCAGAAAGAATATCTTCTAACCCACTGTTAAACATAAACGGAAAAAAACATCGTCCAAACTGCTGTTTGGAAAGACATCGAAGCAAATCGTGCGATCAATTTTTCTGAGCCACTTTCAACGAAAATGTAATGACAAGCAAATCCTCTATTCTGTTATCAAAAATCCACTCTCGCGATTCCCCAAACATCGAGCATATAATTACAAAATCAGAATATCGAAGCTAAACTGGGAATGTCACAGAAAGTGAACTTGAAAAAGTACCGTTCACTGCCAGAACGATGAAACGTTTACGAAAAACTGACCAAAGCGAACATCCAAGAAGAACGCGGATCTTTCTCGCGCAGCTCGCGACTCCGCTCGCGAGGATCCGTTGGGAACTGCATCGGGAAAAGATTCGCGCCGGGAAATGCCGGAAAGCGGGCAGCGGGCGGTTTTGGTCCGGGTCCAAGAAAACCGGGGAGAGCCCGGGTCTCGGCTGTCAAGATTCCGCGGTTTCGGCATTTCCACGTGGACCTCGGTCAGGCGATGTTTGACGGCCGTGTGTGGGCCTTGACTTTACAGGGGGGCCGGCGTGCGGCAGCGCGACGTAACGGGGTCGGCGGAAGAGTGTGGGTAGCTCGCTCACCTGTGACCGGATGTCCTTCATCTTGTTACGTCTGTCGAAGAGCCGGTTTCGCGTTCTGTTGGTCTCTGGGTCCGTTGCACGCTGGTCCGAGCGAGTTTCTTGCGGCGGACACGTCCGTGGCCGACGACTGCTCCTACGAAATGACTAGGTGAGCCGGCACGAGCTGTACACGAAACCTCGGGCCGGACCGGGTCGGGCCGAGTCGAGCCGCGTCGTGCGGCGTCGGACGGTCCGGGACGGGACGCGGGTCAGGTTCGGGACAGGGTCGAGAACTCGGGTCGGCCGTGTAACGCGCAGCCGCGGCGTTCGTTCTGCCCGCCCGCGCGACTTTCCCGCGCCTTCCAAACCGTCGTCTCGCTTTCGGCTTCGTTGGAAAGTTTCCGACACCGTTGAGTAATCGTCCGTCAGCTGACCGAATGGATCCGCGCGCTCCTCGCCGGTCGCCGACGGAGGAGTGTTTAGACAGATAATCGCTATCGAAAGCTGGAAAGATTTCGGACTTTTGCGGGTCGCGCTGTCGGAAAAATCGCGACGCTATTTTGTGCGGACGTGCCGGTTCGCGGATATTTACTCCAATTGGCGGACTCCCGAGGCGATAAAGTAGCCTTTATGTCCTCGGGCGAAATGAACATTGTCTGTTTTGGTTGCAGCGCTCAGGGCGTCACGTAGAAATTCTCTTCGTTGGATGAAACGTGTCTAGCTGACGTGGCGAGAACAATGTGATTTTTGGGAGTTATCCCCGAGAAAATTGCTCGATCTTTTTCTCAAAACAAGCATGCCTCGTTTCGAAGATCATACGTCACGCAATTTTCAGTATTTTTTCATTCTCGAATTTTGAGACACGCTTGTCTTCCCGAATTAGACTACAATTTCTTCGATGTGGATCGTGTGAAATGAACTATTCAAGAAGACTGTTGATAAAAACTTTGTCTGGAAGCAAGAATATTTCTACAAGTTGTATAATACTTACAAATTAAAGAGTGTAATTATTTGAAATTACACAACTTTCTTGTATAACTTCAAATAATTACACAACTTTTTTGTATAATTTCAAATAATGACACACTTTAATTCGTAAGTATTATACAACTTGTAGAAATATTCTTGATTTGTAAAAATTGTATTTATCTCTAGAAAACAGTAGCCAAAACATATAAATTAAGGGGAAGAAAGCGGTTACCGTTTTCCAGAGATAAATACAATTTTGACAAATCAAAAGAATGCGCAAATTAACAGAATTTCAGTGTGCCATTTTGAATTGAAGTAAGTAGCAAGTTTGATAGCAAGTTTCGCCGAAGTTCTTAAGCGATGATGGAACCAATCCAGCAGGTATGATTTACCATGATACGATTGGCATATCGCTTCGATTTACAACGTCCAATGTAGGTTTTCTTATTGAATTTCGAATGAGTTGACATGTTCTTAAAATATTCCGTGATATGATACTTCTTTTATCGCAATATCCTCTACTGACGCACTCGCTTGGCATTTTATTTATAATATTGTCTTCGATATAACAGATGACAATTTTTTTTTTTACTTTAGCTCAATAGATATTACAAAGAAAGACTGAAAGAGCTTCGGAACATCTGAAAAATTGTGAAAGTAAGAAAGAGAGACTATACATATTTTTCTCCCATTTCTTGCAGTTAATCGTGACAACGTGAATTTTCCAATATTAAAATAATTTTTCCGTATTTTCTGTATAAAACTTGGAAAATTTATTTTTTCGTCTCTTCGTAGACAAGTTTATCCGTACCATGTTTATTGCAATTTATATACACATATAATCAATAGTCACCATAGAAATTCGTCATCGGCGTTTCGATATTGCTCTCGTTTTATTTTAAGAGTCGTTTCTTTACGCCGAAAATTACTAGCGAACAAATTTTACTTTCCGACTGACGAGACAGATAGACGAATGATCGTGCGAATCATCGTCGATTCAACGGAAGAAATTCGTAACGAGTATTGGAACGCTGAGCTGCTGCTTCAATCGTCATTTTCGCAGGGGTTGATTCATGGTGCCTAATTAATCGCGAACCGACGTGACTGCGAGAATATTCGCGTTGTCGGAGGAACGTGGATGATATAAGAGGCGCAGTGACGCGTCACCTGTACTGATATACTACACGCTGGCAATATAGTAATACCGCGATAAGCGACGTAATATTTTTCCGGCGCGGAAAGTCCGCGTCAGGGGACAGATAAATCGCCGTTCTGCGCGATTTGACTCGGATAAATTATTTCTTTCGGGGAAATCAGCGCCACGCGCCATCGGGACGTTCTAATTCACCCTCGGAAACGAATTGTAGGCTCGCCGGTCTGCACGCCTTCGTAAAGTCCATTCAGAAACAGAAAAAATTCCATTTACAATATACGCGATAGTCGTC